ACAGACTGGGCTCCACTAATTTAAAAAATGATAACTGCAGAAAGCCACCAAAGATGTCAAAGGCTTCATAAATACATTTACATTCTGTACTTCTCACCATGAGGCAGGTTGCAGAGGAAAATGATTTGGAATGAGACAGATGAAATTATGAAAGTTAGTTATAAAATGCTTGTTTTCAGGCATAAGAAATGTTAGCAATGGAAAAAAAAAAAGAAACAAATATTAGTGTTGAAAGTTAACAGAGCAAGCAAACAAATCACAACAGATTTAATTGACCTATAAGTAAGGCTTTGAAGTAGGTACTATGGATTCATGGCTTACTGCTTTCCCTTTTACAAATGGTAAAATATAATCTACCATTAAAACGTTTTGGATCTTTTTAACAGTTTTGATATAATAATTATTGCATGATTGGTAAATTTCTTTTAAAATTATTGCCTACTTATTTTTCTGTACACATGTTCAAACCTATACGTAAACCACTACTATATAACAAAAATGTCCTTAGAAATCTGATGTTAGTGACAGCAAAAGTATAATGAGTTTCTGAGCAATGTAATAAACAGCACTCAAAAAACACATGCTCTTTTATTATACATTAAGTTGAATTGCCTCATTTAACATATTCAGTCCAAGCATTTAATAGAATGCAAATTCATACGAATGCCCATGAGTGAAATCTGCTGCAGTGAATGTTTCTGGATCTCTCTTGGTTGCCACTGACACTTCTTTCAACAAAGACTACAGCACATTAAAATTTACCTTCTTTACTAAAAACACAGATTTGCACTAGTTTTATACATTAAATATTTAATACAGAAATTAAGAAAAAATACAAGTGCTTCTAGGATTCTAGAGTGCAAATTCTCCTGGAACTCTCCTGGTTCAAGAGTCTAAGTGACTTGCTATTGTAATAAAGTTACTAAACACAACTACCTGCTGAAATTAATTTTTAAAAATTCAATATTCATGAAGCTATAATAGCTTTTTAGCTTTTCTCTATGAATAAAATTATTCTAATGTTCTAACATCCATTTTGCATTAATAAGGGGTTCTAGTTACCAAATATAAAGCAAAAATTCTCAGAAAAGACAAATCATAATTCAGGAATAAATAAATGCCTCAATAAAACCAAAGACATCATAAGAGAAAAGGAAGCTAAATGGAAACTCTTGAATTTTAAAAGAAGAGCTCTAAAAATCAAGCCATCCCAGCCAGAGATTTTGCAATTTCACTGAGACTGATCAGAAATCATTTTCCTAAGACTCAACCTATTTTCCTAAAAAAAAAAAGTGACACATTTTCCAATTATGTTTTTATTTGAATAAGCCACAATACATGTTAGTCTTTTTTAATGTTCTCTACTTATAATAGTTCTAAATAATTTTCTTTTTACTGTGAAATAAGTATTATCTCCATTTTATAGATGAGGTTTTCAAGGTAGAGAAAGATGAAGTGACTGGAAAGCCAGAATAGAGTTGAAACAAAAAATGGGATTAAGAGACAAAAGACCAATGTTTAAATATGGCCGGGAGAGTTACTAAAACTCACCAAGTTACTTTGACTCCCCTCCCCACTGACTTGTTTTTTCATCTGTAAAACAGAAATAATACCAGCTATCTCTCAAATAGCTGATGTTGGGTATAAGCAAGGTATCTAAGAGAATGCTTAGTTAGCCATTCAACAAACAAGGGCCCTCCCACAATCTCGTTTTCTCATCTGGTACAACGAATATATAATCAATCCATATGGCTATTGTGAGGGGAAAAGGGATAACAATGCATGCAGGGTGCCTGGCAAGCACAGAGCTCAATTCATTTGCGCTTCCCCAGGTGCCAAAATTACTAAGTGGTGAAGCCACAACCAAATCCAAATACTGGTTGCACTAGAGAACAGACTCTGTGTATACAAGTTATTTATGGTAGTAACATTTAAAAATTAGCTTAATCTAGCTGCTAAATCAGTTATTTTAATGTAGCCCCTATAAAATTAATTCTACAGTAGCTTTATCTTTCATTAAAAAAGGTACCAGTATTTCCCATTTTTAAAATACATTTTTTCAATATATTTCTTCTAGAAATTCTGTAATGTATATATTCTTAATAATTTATAAACTTTTGTAACATGAAAGGTGACTAAAATTATATTCCTTGGGCTACTGCATGCCTAGACATTTAAATGATTCCATTCAGTCTGAGTTCAAAAATTATTAAGCAGCTTTTTCATTTTTTTCTATTTTCTCCCAAATAAAACAAAGGTAGTAAATGTTATTTGTAAAAGAGGATATGCATAAATAAAACAGATAAGTGAAAAATAGGGACCGGATCTGCATTTATGAAGCAATGACCTTCAAAACTGGCAGAACTGTGAACAACGTTCTTCACAGGGGAGCAATTATACCACAACCCTATGTGTACTTTCATTTTTCATGGTCTAAATACATCTGCATATCAGGAGGAATGAAAGGATCATTTGGTAACTGTGGCAACCATTACTGAGAAGATATAAGGGATCTTGATTACCTTAATAATCATATCCTAAATGCCAGATCAGTGTATCTGCTGCAGATGAAAGGCTAGATCAACACAGTACTTTCACAGACCTGCCTACAACTAAAATTTACCAAATGTAGCTGTCATCATTCCAACCCAGGGGCACATTTCAAAATCTGTAATACTCTAAATAGGTCTCTATCTCAAAAGTCATGAAAATCTTTGTAGAATACACACCTTATTTAGACACAAACATACAATACTTCAAGGAAAAAGATTTCAAATCATCACCACAAAATTTTAAAACTCTGGTACTGAAATTCTTAAAATCCTGGAAATATTAATAAACTTTATAAGTAGCTCACTGATCCTTTCTATTCTTATTTATTTATTTTTGGTATCAGGGATCGAACTGACGGCCTTGCTCTTGCCAGGCAGGCAGGCACTTATGCTGCTGAGCTAAACCACTGGCCCTCTGTTCTAAAAGATTATACCCTGGGTTTGACAAGTGCATACATGCACACGCGCGAACACATACATGCACACACAGGCACAGGTACATGCACAACTACAAAAATGTACAGGAGGAAACGTTAAGAAAAGCCCAATTTACAAATGCTCAAAAAAAAGTCCTATGTAAAGAATAATTTCATATTAAATAATGTGTTTTCTAACAAGAGTGGAAACTAAAGTAATTCAAATAGTGGTGCCTAAGAATAACATTACATATATTTTAGAATCCCTGTGGTTCTTCAGATTCTTAGCAAGAATCACAATGCACAATTGTCTAAATCATGGGTCTTACTACTGTGTGGCCATATTATATTATGCTTAAATATTTTACAACATTAAATTGTAATAATGTAAAATAAGAGCAGCAGAAAAATAAACACAACCATAGTAGGATATACCTAGCATATATCCAGTAACTCCTGCATAACTTACTCTCTTTCTCAACAGCAATGGAAAAAATTAACATGACATCACAATCGACCAACCTCAGTGGCTCTACTAATGGGAAAAATAACTAAATACCTTGTTGTAATACCTTACAACCACAAGGTTATCAGTCATGTCCAGTAGAATGGTAAACTGTGCTTCATTTGTACAGTATTCTGTATCTTAGCAAAAGTTAATGACTTGTTCCAGAATTTTTTTCACCACATAGCCCCAAAGTATCCTTAAGACTAATGAAGTCTGAATCTCACATTGCCTTTAATAGGCTATTCTATAAATGCTTTAAATTTTAAGACTAAAGGATGGTCTTTAAAAGCTCTTGATGATGTACTCAAATGGCAAAGATGTCAACTCCATGTGGTCTTCTCCTCCACCAAAACAAACAATTACAGGGCACAATGACACAATAGAAACAAAAAGTAGCATGTCACCCATTCAGTAAAGGAATAATACATAACATCTCTCTATCACACTCAAAATACAAAAATCCTTTCATTTGATGGCTAGCCTCTTTATGACAGTTCAGTCTTTATCTAAGTGGCCTCAAAAAGATATTTGAGCCCTTTCTCAATCCCCATGGATTTCTGGGAGCATTTAACACTTAACCCCAGAACTGTTTTGTTGGGTTTTTTTGGGGGGAGGGGGGCTGAACTGAGCAGAGTCAGCAGAACAGCTGCTGTCTTACACTACCCAGCATCTTTCTCGCACAACGCTATTTTCCATTACTGAGCACCGTCAGCAAAAATAAATAAATAAATAAACAAACAAACGGGGGTTGGGGGCGAGGATAGGACCCAGAATGGCAGTTTTTGTCTACTACAGCTAAACTGAGAAGCTTCCTCTGATTCCTTGAGGTAAAGAATGGAAGGGATCAGGTGAGACTCCCTCCGGGTGCAGTTAAAATTTGCCTCTTCACAAAGAGCAGCGAGCCCAAGATGCTCTGGCTGGTGGACTCGGCACGGGAGCTCGGTCCCTGTTTCCAATCTCCGACTTTGTGACCGTATTCCCAGGAAACACTACTACTCCTGTCGTGCCGTCCAGAAGCCGCGCAAGGAGGAGTCTGAGTAAAGGGTCGTAAAAATCATCTCAAAAATACCAGGTGCTGAAAGAAATGCTGGGCAGCACCATCGCATTGTTGGCGTTTTGGTAAGTACCCATCCTTCCCGACCACTGTCAGCTCCCAGATCGCTGGGACTTGTTGCCTCACGCCCCCCAGAAACGGCCCTCACGACACGACTCGGGGACACAAAGGCGGGGGCCTGGCGGGCTGGACCCCTCGATAGGCCACTGTGCGCGGGCTGCGCGTGTGCTCTACCTTGCGAGAGCTCTGACTCACAACTGCCCGGGAGGAATCATGACATAAACCTGCGTCCTGCCAGCCGGGGAGACAGGGAAGAGCCGCGGGGCCGCGCCCCGACGGGGCGGCTCTGGGGGAAGCCGCGGGCGCGCGCCCACTGGCGGGCTCGGGCCACGTCTGGGGCTGGGCGGGGGCGGGGCGGGGGCCGGGCCGGAGCGCGCGAGCCCGCCGGGAGGCCGGCGCGGGCTGCTGACCTGGATGGTGCAGGTGTACTCGCTGTCGTCCAGCAGCCGCACGGTGCAGCTGTACTCCCGCTCCAGGCTCCTGCTGCTGCCGCTCATCAGCCTGCTCAGCATCTTCCCGCCCGCTCGCCCGGCGCCGCGAACGACGCGGCGGCGCTGCGGACCCGGACGGGCGCCCTCAGCCCGGCAGCCCCGCGCTGGCCCGGGGTGCCTGCACCATCACCCCGGCCCGTCGCCGCCGCTGCCTGCCGCCGGCCCCGCTGCTCCTCTTTCCCCTCCACCTCCTTCTCCAGAGGGGCCGCCGCCTTCCTTCTGCCCGGAGCCGGCGCCGCGCTCTCTCGCTCGCCCGCTCTCTCTCTGGCTTTCGCTCTCCAGCCCCGCGCCCCGCAGCTCTAGTCCGGCTCGCAGGGCGGGGCCTCCACCCTAAGAGGCCAATAGAGAGCAGCGCGGCGGAACTGAGTGGCAGGCAGAGTTACAAATAGAGAGAGGGGCTGGGATGATGGACGCTCTGGAGAAGCAATCAGGGGAAACAGTCCCAACTGAGGCGAGTCGGACCAGCCCTCCAGCGTCCCAAACCTTCAGCTGCTGGCGGTTTTCCCTCCCCGCCGCAGGTGTGGGTACCCTACTGGATCCTGTCTGCTCCTTGGAATACGTTTCATCTGTTCCAGGGGCCAAGTCCCGCACCCCGCGCCGCCGTGGTTGCCGCCCTCTGGCAACAGAGCGAGGAAGCAACGAGGCGCGGGAGCGCAATCCCTGCACCTGCAGAGCGCGGGCGCCTCCGCTGCGGGCTCGCTGGCCGCCCTGCTAGAGGTGTCCTCGAGTCGCCTTGAGTCGCTGCTGGAATCTCAGAGGAAAGATCGTCAGCACGGGTTTACCGCTAGGAAACCTGCGCTTAAATGTTGTTTCCTCTTTCCTTCGATTTTCAGAAGACAGGGAGACTAAGTTGTGCTCCTTAGCTGTTCAGGGGCAGAGGAATCAATGGATACTTGCACCTTTAGAACTAAAATTATTACCTCTTCAAGATTTCCTCTGCAAAACAATGCACTATGCCCTCAGGTATACATCACAAAGAAGAGAAATGCTTCCTTTTCTTTGTGCCCCCACCATATAAAAACTTTAAGTTCTTTACCAAAATTTCACTATGCAACGTGATTTAAAGATATTAATAGAGGGAAATATTACAAGTTGGGCTGAGTGCCCAACTTTTAAGTAGTGGAGTGCTTGTCTAACATATTCAAGAGTCTGGGTTTATTCTCTAGAACTAGAGGGAGTGGGGGAGCTATTCCAATGCAAAACGCTAGAGCTATAATAAATATATTTATTTTTTTAAATGAAATATGCATAATTTTCATTACTTTTGCCTTTACTGTTTTTGTTGTGTAAGTGTAACATACAAAAAATATAAAACCTACATACATTAGAGTGCAAAAAATACCTATTCTTGTTCATGGTAGTGGTTCGTTTTTTGGTTTTTGTGTTACTGCTATATCCACAGCCCCAAACATTTAAAATATGATTTTTCACTAATACATTTAGATACTAATATTTCTTCCAAAATTTTGCATATTTTTCCCCCTCTCCACCCCTCTTCCTCTCTCCCTGTACCTGTTTCCCTCTCTCTCTCTCTCTCTCTTTTGCTTCCTTCGGTTTCTGTATGATAACCCAGACTGCTCTTCTTATTGTTTGCCTTCTTTATGGTATTTAGTAGCCATGGGAAAAGGATCCTACAATTCCTGGCAGAATTAGTTGCAAGAGTAGAACCAGTGAGTCAAGTGTTCTAGGCATAAAACTAAGCATGACCTTTACTTTATTGTCCCAAACTGCTAAAGCAGTATGATATCTACAACAAAAAGGTATTGTATAAATGTTGAGCAGAAATAAATGAAATTAATAGACATTTCACATCCCAGCGGAAGATCTGTAAAGATACTAGGAATTTAAAGAATGTCTTGAAGACAAGTAAAATCATTATCACGCCAAAGTAATAATCTGTAAAGTTTAGTTTTGTTGTGTATTTGAAAAAAGATAATGAAAGGTTTCAGACAGAAAGAATTTTTGTTGAAAATGAAAGTTGCTCTTTATTATAAAATCTACAGGAGCAAAAAAAAATTGTCCAAAAAGCAAGAGGAAGCCCATTAGTGTGATGATAGGGCTATGCAAATAAGCAGCTGTTAGAATAAAAAAGCAAAAGCACCATGAATCCAGAAAAGCTCTAAGGAATTGAATACCATCTTTCTCCAAAGTATGACCATGGATGCAATCAATAGGGATGAGATTGTAGCTGCTATGCTAATGTGTTAAATAGCATCCCTGCCCAGTCTTAAGAAAATTATGTGTACTTGGAAATTCACCTTATCAGAAAACCAGTTAGATATTCATCATGTTAGTGCATAATGTCCAGCTATAAATGTTCCCTTCTGCTCTGATATAAGAGCAATTTGTGGTGACAACAGATGGGAAAATAATGAAAGAAATGCAAGAATCTAAATGTATGCCTCTAAAACAAGGCTCACAAACAGAAACCTAACTAGGAAGAAAGGACTCATACAAAGATCAGCTGGGGATACTTCGCCTCTGTTTTTTTTTTTTTTTTTTTTTTTTTTTTTCAGATCTGTAGAGCAAAAGTCTGGGATTGAAAGGGTTTATTCAACACAAGGCCTCATGTGCCCTTAAAAATTAGAATGTCTGAGCTTTCAGGTATCTAGAGGTGTATTTAAAATAAACCTGCAAATTACAATGGCTCCGAACCCCAATCTTCCAAATTATTAGGTTATCAACCTCCTCTCTAAAAGGAAGGAGTCCTGAGGAATGATACTGTCTCCCTCATATGCCTGAAATAACTAAACCCCTGCCTCAGCTTTTAGATGTCCTATACAATCCTGTACTTGGACTCTGATATCTCTCCAGACAAAGCAAGCTTCACCATCATTTTGGATTTGGGCATGAAAGAGCACTGACTTGTTTTCACCAGACTATCACAAAATAGTTCCTTCCCATCAAAGACACTGTTACAGTTTAGATTTAAACTACCCACCCCCCCAGTCTCATGTGTGTGGAATGTGATTGGATAGTAAGAATGATATATTCATCAGTGGGATTCACCCATTAATGAATTCAGTAATTGAATGTACTATTAGGACATTGGGCCTAATTGCAGGTGGATCCCTGGGGGAGTGACATTGAAGGGTATATTCTTGTCCTCAGCTCTTTTTTTTCTCTGCTCCCTGGATGTCATGACAATGACCAGTTTTCCCCTACCACAGCCTTTTATCATGCTGCTTTAGCTTTGGCTCTAGCTATCCATGGAACTAAACCCACTGAAACTGTGAGACAAAACCTCTCCTTCAAATTGTGGGTGTTGGGTATTTTGTCCAAGAGACTGGAAAGCTGAATAAACAGACAAGAGGGGGGTTGTTGATATGACATTACCTGACGTGGTTTAGAAATCTTTGAAACTGGTTTGCAGAAGGAACTTGGAAAGATTTGGAGATGCAGGCCAGAGAAGCCTTAAGATGTTGTGAGTAGTACTTTTATGTGTGATACTGGTAATTTCACAGAAGACCAGAATGCTGATAGGAATCTAGACAGTGAAGACGAAGCTCAGGAGTTTTCAATGGGGAAGAAGGACTCAATTGGAAATGGACTAAAGGCCATGTATGTTACACTCTAGCATTTTACTAAAAATTGTCTACATTTTGCTGATGCCCGACACTTTACAGGAGACTAATTAAGGGTGGTGAACTAATGAAAATTCTGCAGGAAATTTCAAAGCATCCCAACATGTATGTTGTGACATGAATGTTTTCAGTCAGATTAACAGAATCAGGAGTAAAAATACAGAGCCAAATGATATAAACCCTGGCCAGAAAGGAAAGTACCTGTAAAGTTAGGCCAAAGGAGAGTGTCCTTGCTGAAGAGATTAGCATTTTTAAAAAGCCAAATTCTTTGCACCAGGACAATAATAAAGATGGTTTGAAATCATCTCAGGAATAGGCCAGACCCTATCCTCTGTAGGCTCACAGATGTAAAACTGTAAAGCTATCATTTGAAGAGAGAGTCCTTTGAACCCTGCTGGAAAGAACCACCTAGGGAATTGATTCCCTGGGATTCATTTCATATTACTCAGCCATCCAGACATTCAGATGCTTCTGCAGCTATGATCCAAAAAGGTCAGGCTATTGCTCAAAATGGTGGCAGATCTTTGCACTATCCATATGGTGCTGGTTTCTCAGAAATGAAAAATACAAGAGTTGGGCCTGGTAATCTCAAGGTCCTGAGTTCAATGCCTGGTACCAAAAACAAAACAAAATAAAAACAAAAAAATACAAGAATTATGGAGTCATAGAGGCTTATGCCCAGATTGCAAAGGAAGGCATCGAAGACAATGCAAAGAACCGCTGACAGAACAAGCATGAAGCTACGAAAGTGAAGTCAGAGTGGCAGTAGAGAAGCCAGGGATTTGAAGGTGCCAGGAATGTGGAAATAATTCTACTGAATAAAAGTGTGGTCACTGAGAAGAGTCAAACAGAGAGGCAATGTAAGCTGAAACCTTCAAGGTCATGGAGGGAGGCAGCGCCCATGCCATTTAAAGTTAATATCCCACAAAAACCTGCCTGGGTGCTGGACATAGAGCTACAGGATTTAATGGTTGCCTTGCTGGGTCCCATTCCTTGCTATTCTGTTGTTCTTCTCTTTTGGAGGGGGAATGCTTATCCTATAGTATGACATGTTGGAAGTATTTAACTTTGCTTTCAGTTTTTACAGAGCCTCACAGCCAAGAATTGTCTGGAGTCTCCAAGGAGATTTTAGACTTAGATTTTTCAGGAATGTTGGAACTGTTAAGACGTGACAGCTCTTAGAGATGGACTAAATGCATTTTGCACCAATAAGATAGATATGAGTCTCTTGGTGGCCATGGACAGAATGTTATGGTGTAGACCTGTGGAGGTGCTGTACTCAACCATGGAACCTGTGCTCTTAGGAGGCAGGGCCTGGTTAGGAGGGCGTTACTCAGGGTGTGACATTGAAGGGTGTCCTCGGGTCCTCCTTTCTCTCCTGCCTGGCTGCTATGACAATGAACAAATTTCCTCCACCACATTCTTTTTTTATTGATTAAGAAGCTTACCTTTACCTTTCCTTATTAGTACGTGTTTGCAGCACAAAATGTTTATATTCCTTGTGTGGAGTTGGTGCATGTACCTAACACATCTTAATTCATTTTTCAGTCCCTCTTGTTTTCCCCCCTCACCCTCTGCATCTCTTGATCTCCTTTCAATCTGAGAAAGATCTATCTCCCTATTTCCTATTATCTTTTATTTTGCTTTTTATTTATAATATGAGAAACCATGAGATATTTAAGCTTCCGTGTCTGATTTATTTCACTTAACAT